AAGTGTCTTAGAATCATTCTCCCTCTCAGTAGCTAGAAATTTAGAATAGCTGAAATCTGTAGGCATGAACCTCTGAGGGCCGAAAATGTGACATTTGGGAACAGTTCTTAAACTCTGATTAACTAGCTGTAATATAGTTCTGTGAATTTACTGCACTGATGCTGGACCTTGTGGTATATCTGTCCCTAATAAGTGTTTTCTCCCCTTCAATATTACTGTAAACAGTAGCACCCATTGTAGCATATGTTTGATTTTTTTTTTAAATGTTTCCTATGAAAACTACAAACTACCTTAATTTTTACATGTGTTTCCTCATTGTAGATAAGCCTATCTTGCTATCTGGATTTTTTTGTGTATATGTGTTCTACCAATTAACTACTTTGCAGTTTTAATCTTGTATTATTTCTTCTACTTTGTTTTGTGTAAAAGGGGAAAAATAAAAAAGCTGGAATCCCTCAAAAAAAAATCTTTAAAAAAAATTCCACATATGAGTAAGATCAAAAAAAAAAAAATTTGGAGCAACTGCTGACAACATCTCTGGATATTGTAAGGAGAAAACTTTAGAGCATTTGGGCACATAAAGAAGTGACACACATACCACATCTACATGTCTCCAGTCCTAAAGAAATGAATTTTGTGGGATAGAGAATATGAATGTAAAAAAAGATCAGAAAAATTATCTATCAAAAAAGGACATTTGACAGGGTACAATGTTTACAAAATGAAGTTGAAAATTTTGTTTTGCTTATAAAATGTCATGTTTTTTTTTTCTTTTCTGAATGTTTCTTATTGGAGATAGAGATAACTTTGTAGAGTGAGAAAAAATAACCATTTAGATATAATGATGAGAATAAGATAGAATCTAAATTGATCTATTTGGAATTCACAGGGTGCCTGGGTGGCACAGTTGGTTAAGCAACTGACATGGTTTAGGCTCAGATTGTGATCTCAGGGTCATGAGATTGAGCCTTGCATGAGGCTCCACACTCAGCACAGAGTCTGCTTCAGATTTTCTCTCCCTCTGCCCCTTCCCCCATGCTCATATGCACTCTCTCTTTCTCAAATAAATAAATAAATAAATAAATAAATAAATAAATAAATCTTTAAAATAAAAGGATTTCACTATGTTTAAATTTTTCTTATTATTTTATTCTAATTAGCTTTTTATGTTCTTCTAACATTCTTTTCCCCTCAAAAAGATTGAGCTATTCTTCCTTCTCTGTAATCAACCACAGTTGATTTTTCAACATTAAGTCATCATTTGGTGTGTTTTGTAAAGTGAAGTATGTGAAAAGTGCAGTATTTTAATTTGAGTTGTGATGGGAATTGATTAGAAAAAATGGGCTTGGAATAGAAATATGTTCTAGTCCTGGCTATGACACTAACTCATTTGTGTAAATTGGGGGTGTTGGGGAGGAAGAACTTTCTTTGCCCTTCATGATCCTTCTAGCTGGACTAAGAATCAAATTGACATGAGACAGATTAGCAGGAGAAAATAAAATTTAATAGCATGTGTATGTGTGGGGAATGCACATCGAGATGGAGATTCCAAAGACAGTGAGGCAATATGATGCTCATATGAGCCAAAGAGAGGGGAAGGCATCTAAGGATACAAAGAGGAGAAAGACCATTAGCAGGAAGAGGAAAGGAGACATTTAGAAAACAAAGATTGCCCTATTATGTAGGTAAGTTTCTTAGGTAAAGAAAAATCTCTGTTAATAGCTTTCTCCCTAGTATAAGCAGGCAATTGAGGGGTGGTTAAAGAGCTTTTCCTGAATTCACGGGGTTTTGATTGCTTTTAACTGAAAATAATGTTTATGCTAAAGTGGCCCATCTTGGGGCAGCCTGCTCGTGGCCCTACAGGGTTCAAATTGAGACATTTGATCTCTCCAAACTTTAATTTTCCCATTTGTAAAGTGAAAGAATTTAATAATCTTTCTGGCTTTATGCTACTAGAAGCAGAACCTGGACTTAGTAGGGCTCATTATTTGATAGATTAGGTACTCATTATTTTGATAGATTAGATTAGTATGTTGGTTTAAGTCTGATAACTATTCCACTGAAGTCTTATTTAATATAACTTTTTCTGTTTCCAAAATAGTAAAGTACTGTGGTATAAATGTTTGTGTCCTTCCTAAATTTATGTGTTGAAAACATAATGCCCAAGGTGATGGTATTAGCAGCTGAAGACTTTGGGATATAATTAAGTCATGAGGGTGCCCTTATAAAAAAAGAGGCCCCAGAGAGGAAGCTTTTCCCTTCCACCATGGGAGGATACAACAAGAAGTTGGCAGTCTGCCACCTGGAAGAGGACCTTCACCAGACCCCTACCATGCTGGCATTCTGATTTGGACTTCTAGCCTCCAGAACTGTGAGAGATAAATTTCCACTGTTTATAAGCCACACAATCTGTGGTATTTTGTTATAGCAGCCTGAACAGACTAAGACAGAAAATCGGTACTGTGAATGGAGTGCTGCTGTAACAAATATATAAAAATTTGGATGTGACTTTGGAACCATGTAATGAGTATAGGCTAGAGGGGTTTTGAGGTGCATGCTTGAAAAAGCCTACATTACCATGAAGGGACTGTTAAGGGTGATTCTAGTGAGAGCTCATGGAAGAGGAGTACTGTAAGAGAAAACCTTCATCTTCTTAGAGAATATCTAAGAGGTCATGAACAGAATGTTGGTAGAAATATGGGTGGTAAAGGCCATTTTGATTGGGTCTCAGATGGAAATGAGGAATCTATCAGAGACTAGAGGAAAGGTGATCTTTGTTATAAAGTGGTAAAGAGCTTGGCTGAATTGTGTTCCTGCCAATGTTTTGCCAAATGTTTTGTGGAAGGTAGAACTTGTGAGCAATACATTAAATATTTGGCTGAGGAAATATCTAAGCAAAGTGTTGAAGGTGTGGCTTGGCTTCTCATGAATGCTTAGAGTAGAATGGGAGAAGAGAGAAATAATTTAAAGATGGAATTATTAATCAAAAGGGGAACAGAACTTAAAACTTTGGAAACTCTTAACCTATATCATATTGCAAAAGAGAGAGAGAGAGAGAAAACACAACTTTTTTGATAAGGACATTAGTATGCATCAGGAAAACAGTCAGTTTGAACAAGAAGACAGAAAGGAATGAAGGAAGGTTCTCTCACTTCTTAGACTTTGTAGGGCAGGACCATGGAGCTATTTGGCTTAGAATGCATGCTATTCGTCAGGACAAGGGAAGAAGGTTCCCAAAAGTGATTCAATTCAGAGATCATCAGGTTTCAAAAGTGGGGAGGGGCATCTCCTCTGTTTCAACAAGCCAGATTATCCTTGCCCAAAGCTGTGGGGACCAGACCCCAGCAAAATCACGGTGAGTGATAACCTCTACCTAGATTTGGAATGATGGAGCCTCCTGGAACCCAGGGCACACAACTCAGGCACAGAGCCTTTTCAAGGGCATGGCTGCTACAGAGAGCTTCGGGGATGGGGCTGCCCCAGTGACTCCAGACCAGTAAAGACACAGGTGTGTGATTCCAGTCTAGGACAGCCATGGGCACACAACTAGAATCCTATAGCTGCTGCATAGGCAGCACCCAGCAAAATTGTGGGGTTGGGGAATGCCCTGGTGTATCTGGAAGCAGA